GTCCCCCCGGAAGAGCTGGGGGAGGTGTGTGCGGATCGGGAAGTCTGGACGGCTTTGCTAAGGCTGCAGCCTCCGCGCCCCGACTCCGGATAAGTGGGAGAAGATGGATGGATGGATGGATGGATGGATAATCAGTCTGTTCAATGAGCTAAATCTGTCACTTCAAGGGAGAACAACTGTCCTCTAGTTGTCAGATAAAGTGGCTGCATTAAAAAACAAACTGAAATTGTGGGGACGGTGAGTGGACAAAGAATTATTATTATTATTATTATTATTTGACATTTCAAACATTAGGGATTGTGGGAGAGACTAAGCTTGGGTCTTCATTCAAGCAGCTGGTGCACAATCACTTATCTTGGTTTTCGAGAGAGTTTGAACATTACTTTCGAATCACAAAGGACCCACGGACCAAAAAGGAATGGATCCGTGATCACTTTATGAACGTGCCAGGTCACTCGACCTTCTACATGTTGCAGGAAGATCAGCTGCTTGAGATTGGAAATGGTGATGGCCTTAAAAAAAAAAAAAAAATATATATATATATATATTTCACTTTATTTCTTAAGTGAGAGCAACCTCAACAAAATTGCGGAGTAGACTGGACAAAAGGAACACATTTTAAGTATCACTCTTGCCAATCACACCTAGATGAGACCATCTTGTTGTGGGCAAGCAAACTCAGGGCTTCTAATGATTCTGCATCACGATGAGTTATACAGTGTTGTCTTAAAAAGTGACGTGTTTTTGAAATCAACTAAAAATATAAAAAGCAAATACATATTTAGCAATAAATAACTTAAAACTTTTATGTATAATAGAAAAAAAACAAAACAATTCTTTGTGTGCAATGACCCGTCTGTAGAAAATTTTCTTGCTTGAAACCGGTCCGTGGTGAAAAAAAGGTTGGAGACCGCTGCCCAAAACTACAAGTTCACTTTTGCTACAAAGCAAAGTAAAGATCTCGTTGAGACTGAAATATCCATCCATTATCTATACACCGCTTAATCCTCACTAGGGTCGCGGGGGGGCTGGAGCCTATCCCAGCCGACTTAGGGCGAAGGCAGGGGACACCCTGGACAGGTCGCAAGTCTATCGCAGGGCCACACTGAGAGACAGACAACCAAGCACACTCACATTCACACCTACGGACAATTTGGAATCACCAATTAACCTCGGCATGTTTTTGGACTGTGTGGGAGGAAGCCGGAGAACCCGGAGAGAACCCACGCTGCACGGGGAGAACATGCAAACTCCACGCAGAAAGATTCCGGTGTCCCCACCGGGACGCGAACCGGCGACCTTGAGACTGAAATATCGAATTATCAAATTATACTTCACAGGATGTATTGGTAAAAACTGTAGGTTATGAAGTTACAAGTCACTTTTTGCAGGACATTGTTGAGCTATAACAGCACAACAGTTCTGGTATACTGTAAGTCCAATATACTATGAACTAAAAAAAACTGCTATTTATCCTTAAAGGATGTCTGTGTTTAATTAGGGTAGTAAATGAGTTATCGTATTATTTGTGGTGCAATTATTGACACTGAGCTGTTATGTCTCTTTCTCTTTCTCTGGCTATCTAAGGTGAGTGGCTTCCTGATGGGCTTGAGCGTCATTGGCTCCATCTTCAACATAACAGGAATTGCCATCAACCGTTACTGTTACATCTGCCATAGCTTCAGCTATGACAAGCTCTACAGCTACCGCAACACACTGCTGCTGGTGGCACTCATTTGGTTGCTGACAGTTGTCGCCATTGTACCCAATTTCTTTGTTGGCTCACTGCAGTATGACCCACGCATCTACTCATGCACATTTGCACAGACAGTCAGCACATCATACACCATCACAGTGGTGGTCATTCATTTCTTTATACCGATCACTGTGGTGACCTTCTGCTACCTTCGTATCTGGATCCTAGTCATCCAGGTGAGGCGGAAGGTGAAGTCAGAGGTTCGTCCTCGCATTAAGCCTAGTGACCTGAGGAATTTTATCACCATGTTTGTAGTGTTTGTGCTGTTTGCAATTTGTTGGGCACCACTCAACTTTATCGGTCTTGCTGTTGCTATTAATCCTGAAGCTGTGGCACCTCGCATCCCAGAGTGGCTCTTTGTTGTCAGCTACTTCATGGCTTACTTCAACAGTTGCCTTAATGCCGTCATCTATGGCCTGCTGAACCAGAACTTTCGAAGAGAGTACAAACGAATCATCATGTCTGTATGGATGCCACACCTCTTCTTCCAGGAGACATCACGGGGGGGTACTGAGGGCATGAAAAGTAAACCCTCTCCGGGACTCAACAACAATGAGCAAGTGAAAGGAGAAACTCTGTGACACGGTTTTCTTCTTCTTTCATTTCCTTATCCCCCTCATCTGTGTTAACTTGTGCAATGCCATCAATCATCTGTGCCAAAGCAATGAACTCTACAAATACAGAGTGACAATTAGTTTGGGCAAGTAAGACTGAAATAGAATTGGTGCATACAGAGGCATATAGACTGCAATAAGTATGTTATCCAGTCTTTCAAAACTGAAGGCTCATCAGTTTTGGTTTGTAATGATTTATATGAAGAAGACATGGACTATTTTTTAAATTGTCAGTGGGCTTAAGCTGATTTTTAGCTGGATGTTGTGTTTGCATTCCTATAACATTGTTCAGTAAGTAACCATAGTTGATGCGGAGTACACATTAGAACTAGTTTCAATCACTAAACTAAGATAAAAATGGAGAATGCTGCAGAAAAAAAAGAAAGGTGAATCAATTGAATTTATCTCCCTAAAAAAATTTCCCCCACATAGCCTAAAGTGCCCAGATGCTTAAATCTAGTCCTAATACTTGCTTAACTAACAATAGTAGTTTAGAATTTTACTTTGAAACATGATCTGTTAAAATCAAGTGATCATACACATAACTGGCCATCCTATGGATTTACTTTATGTTCCATCAATTACACATGATCTTGCAACATTTACTACAAGAAAAAGTATGCTTTTTATGTAGCAGGAATAATGGTGTGAAGTTTAAGATGTTGGATGTAGCATGTTGATTTCAGGTTAGACTTTGTCAAATACAAAAGCACCATTGCCAGATAATAAATACTAATAGGGCAACAAGATTGAGACCCTCTGTTCCTGCAACGAACAACTTTTATGAAGTGGAATGAAACTAACATTGCACCCTTCAGTGGACTTTAACTATGTAGCTTGTATATTCCAGATATAATTTGATATAATATGGGTAATTTTTACATGGATTTTTTTGTTTTACATTGTTGATTTCTGATTTAATACTTTGTAATATTCAATATAACTAACAGCAACTTCAATGCATTTTTAAAACACAAGAAAACCAAAAGTGATGAGCTGCAAACATGTATTATAACTAATTACAAATTGTGTGTTGTACACCTCAGGATGCCTGCCTCCTCTAATGTTTGGGTAATATGTATTTGAAAGTGGAGACACTAAGGCGTTAGTTATTTAAGGTTTAACATCATGAAGTTGCCATGGTGATTGTTTGAAAACCGCACAGTGGCTTCATTATACATGCAGTTATGTACTGTATTAGTCATGCAATACTGTGATAAGTGTTTTGGTACACCACATATTTTTAATGGTACACTAATAATTCTTTAATTTTTACAACAACAACAAAAAGATTAAATTAAGTATTTATTTATTTTTCGATAATCATGGGTAACTGCACCACATCTTGATTAATCCCGAACAGATGTCTTTCACTTTGCTACTGGATGATGCCTCAAATTTCTAATGGACATTTCAATGGTTTCTCAAAGGTGCCTGTTTTATTGTTCATTGCATCAAAATGAAGAATTTGCCAAAAAAAAAAAAAACACGCTGAGAAAGAGACTATGGTGGGTTACAAGCATATTATTTTTAAGCTCTGTTGTTAATGTTGCTCATCAGCTGATGTGGAATCAAGGTGTGTTCACACTGAACAGGAAGCCAGTTCTAGAGGCAACACATCTGAATATAAAGTCAAAGCAAAGATGTAACTGAACATGGACAGTTTGAATGTTTAAATTAGGAGTGTAGCCCTTTTAGAGCACGAAACCTCTATTCAGCCTACTACAACAGATTTAAAATGAGAATGTTAAAGAACGGACTGCAGGGTGGCGCAGTTGGTAGCACTGTTGCCTCGCAGCAAGAAGGTTGCCGGTTCGCATCCCGGTGGAGGCACCGGAACCTTTCTGCGTGGAGTTTGCATGTTCTCCCTGTGCAGCGTGGGTTCTCTCTGGGTTCTCCGGCTTCCTCCCATAAGGTCCAAAAACATGTTGAGGTTAATTGGTGATTCTAAATTGTCCGTAGGTGTGAATGTGAGTGTGCTTGGTTGTCTGTCTCTAAGTGTGGCCCTGTGATAGACTGGCGACCTGTCCAGGGTGTCCCCTACCTTCGCCTTAAGTCAGCTGGGACTTGGATGGATGTTAAAGAACACACAAAACAGTGAAATGCACTGAAAGAACTGATGTTAAAGAACACACAAAACAGTGAAATGCACTGAAAGAACTGTTTCCTTGATGCCCCATATAAGAAACTATACAGATTATTTTATGTCATAAATTAACAGATGTTTTGAAGCAATATCTTTAAAATTCAAAGGAATAACAAGCTCGTGAAATTCAAACTTGCGTCTACACATTTGTGGGCGAATACAAAATACGAAAGTACTGGTTTTACATGTATGCTTCTCAATTCTGTCTGAACACACCTTTAGACATCAGACAATTGCAGTGCTTTAAAAGTCTGTGTTGTATGTTAAATTGGTAGAATTGGTAGATATGTCGTCTATAAAGTCATACCATAAAAACCCAGAGGGTATGTAAAAGCACAATTATCTGAGGTCCGGATAACAGTGTACTTATGCAGTTTACATGTTACAATCTTAGTAAAGTTTTAATCTTAGTAATGATGAAAATCACCATTTTTCTATGCATTTCATAGTTCATATCAATGTGAATGATGTGAATACATGTGAATAATGCTATTGTTTTTATCAAGTTTATCTTAGTAAAAAAAAAAAAAAAGTAAATGAGCTGCTGCAGGCTGATCTCAAGCCTTGAAATGCTGTATTCCATGATGGTAAAGAAAATGCACGAGTGTTTGATTGATCTGTTGATTTGTCCTTTATTACTTCCACTTTTGCTTTGGGTTGGACAAGTCAGCCTCTGGTTTCAATTACAACTTTGAAATAATTGCTAATGAACAAGTTATGATAATATTTGCTGATTTGATTTACTGAATTTTCCTTCTGGGATAAATAAAGTATTTTTCATTTCATTTCATTTGACTGTAGTCACACCTTCCAAAAGAATCACCCCAAATATTTCAACAATTGTATCCTGTAATGTACTGCAGTGTGTGTGACGGGTGCACTCGAAGTACCTACTGCAAAATTTCCAATAAATAGTTTTTATTTACCTCACCTGCAGAGAGAACCAGATCTTTATTATAGACAGGCCTTCATATCTAATGTTCCTTGTTTTATAAATATACCTGACAATTTAGTAGATTTCTTTTTCCTGGTTTGTCTCTGTTTATTGTGAATGCAAACTCAGCACCTCCTCCACATTTACCTTTCTGTATTGAAAAAAAACCCCAAACAGACAGTAATTACATAGCTACCACAGTCCACAATTTACAGTGCAACATTGTTGCATGAATCATGGATAAATAAAATACTTAATACAGCTCAGTAGAAACAATGAACAGTGTAACAGAATAGGCAATACTTAGTTAGCAAAAGAGTAAGAAATTGATATTTTAGAAGAAAGCAAAAATACAGAATTATCAAAGGCCTCCTTTGGTGAAAATCAAGCTAGTTTTTTTGTTGTTGTTGTTGTTTTAACTTGTTAACATTAACTTGTTTTATGGACTACATCACCATGAGTGAAAAAAGCAGTCAAAACCATGACAAAGTATTTTTTCAGTGTTAGTTGAAATGAACAAAGTTCAGAGTTATTTTAACACTAAACGCATGAAAACTAACATTTTTCGAGTCACTTGGTCAAAGTGTTAGTGTGGATGTTGGTTGCTAAATAAATTCAACACTCTGAGGGCTCAAGTGGTGTAGTGATAGGTGTAGTTACCTGCTCATACCAGCAGAGGGTTATGACATCTTAAGCTGGGTACGTGCAGAGCGTAGAAGAAGAACACACATGATGGATGTTTTATGTGTTTTGCTGAGAGCTGCAGATTAAAGAGTTGAACGAGTCGAACCCAGTTTCTTCATTATATTAGAAACAACACATGGTACCAGGAGTGGTTCAAGGTCCGAAGTGGTCCGAAGTCCGACGTCATGGAAAGTGTGAAGCCGCCTGATGCTGTGAATTGGACTGGAAATGTGGACTGTGAGAGGCGGACGTTCAAACAGCATTTCTTGCTGTACCTGCAAGCTCTCGGACTGGACAGTAAGCCAGACGCACGGAAAATAGCGCTTCTTCTTACCGTTGCTGGACCTCACGCACTAGAGGTATACAACACGTTTGTCTATGCTGACAGAGATGATATGGACAAGTTTGACACAGTCATCCAAAAGTTTGATGAACACTGTTCACCAAAGAAGAACGAAACGTTTGAGAGGTTTGTGTTTTGCTCTCGCATGCAGCAGCTGGCTGAAAGTTTTGATGCCTTTCTCACAGATTTAAAGTTGAAAGCTAGAACATGCAACTTTGGAGTCCTCCAAGAGTCAATGATCCGTGATCAAGTGGTGTTCGGCATTAAAGACGTGAAAGTAAGGGAGAGACTGCTACGTGAGACGGAGCTAACGCTAGCTGGCGCTGTGAAGATCTGTCATGCTAGTCAATTAGCCCTGCAGCATGCTAAGACATTCAGCGATGTTACCAAGAGTGGTGACAAAGATGTCGCAGTGGTGGCGGGAGTGTCAAAGTGGACGACGAAACAAAACAAAAAGGACGGCTATTAAAACAGAGAAAAGACTCAGAGACTTTTAATTGTAAAAGATGTGGTACTCGTCATACACCGAATCAATGCCCGGCCTATGATAAAGTGTGCAAAAGGACAGAATCACTTTGCGAAGCAGTGTTTCTCCAAAGGGAAGACAGCCCAAAGTGAACGTGTGCATACTGTGGAGGAAACAGACCTCAGTGACTCTTTCTTTGTGGGCATGATAGCCCAAGAGGATACTAAAGTGAAGGAGACAGTGGACAAATGGACAGCAGCACTGGAGATTAATGGAACTGTTATCACTGTGAAGCTGGACACAGGAGCAAAGGCCAACTTAGTAAATGAACACGACCTGAGATGCATGAAGGTAAAACCCTGCATTCACAGAAATGCAAAGCTACTCAAAGCCT